TTCTCTTTGTCTGTATTCCTGGCTGTCCACCCCAGTCTGTCTCTGCGTTAAGCGCAGTTCTGCCCTGCAACAACAGCAAATTGGTTTCTGTGACATGCAAACTATAGAAGCCCCTAATCCGTCAAGCAGCAACAAAATGTTAAACAGTCCCAACTCCAATGAGTGCACAATAAAATTTGCGCAAAAAATTTAGCTTTATTCAAAACTTACATACAATCATACAATACCAAGCAATCACCCAGCAGTGGTAGGGCCTGGCTCCACTACTCGCCACATGTGCAAAATGAGACTGAATCTTACGTTAGAACATGGAAATGTACACCGCCATATGTTTTGTCTTTTGTGCATCTGGTGAGTAGCGGGACCAGGTGGTATAGTCCACGCAAAGCAAAGCAAGACAAGGCAGTCGACAAAATCCAACAGAATCATTGCTATGCTTTTTTTTTCTTTTTCTTTTTTTCCCAAAAACCGGGGCCATGGCTACTATGGAGAGTGGGTATGAGCATCTTCCCATAGTACCCCCCTCAAAAAAGAGGTCCTCTAGACCGGTTTTTGGGTGCTCCAGTCTATTGGTGGGGAGCATCACCTGCTGGAAATTGGGGCCAGCGAATTATTATTATGCTGTCAAGTTGTCAACAAGAAAATCACAAGCACGACAGACAAAGGACTATTCTGGAGTGGACACAAAGGGGCTGCTCCAGAGTGAACACAAAGGTGTGCACACTCGCTTGCTTGCGCAGCAGCGTGTCCGCAATGCCAGCATTGGCCAGAATGCCCAGCTCTGGCCAGCCTCCTCCCTATATGGGAGAGGTTGCTGCTGCTGAACTCTGTGTGGGCCTGGCCGTGGAAGTTTCCGCTCGGGCCCCAGTGTCTGCGCCCAGGCCAACTCTGACAGTTACGGGCCTGGGCCCTTTTTAGTTAGGCAAGCTCAGAACTTTCCAGGCTTCGAGTTGTTTGCTGCATTTGCACTGGGACACGGGATAGATACGACGACAATATGCTGCTTTCTTGCTGGCCCGTGGCCACTTCGTGATGTGTCGGCCTCTCAAGGTGTGTGCCTAGGGCACAGCCACCCAGGCCCTGGGCTCAACTGCCTGGCGCAGTTGCCTCTTCTGGGGGAGCCCAGGGTGAGGCCCAGGTTGCTCTTCAACCAACTGTCCTGCAGCAACTGTCTGAGACTTGCATTGGAAAATGCTGAGATAAGGGCCTCTCGTGGATATTCAGGCCCGCCTTCACTTAGGACGGGCACGAGGCTTGCTGGGGGCCACAGTCAGAACATATGCAGGTTGTCTAAGGGCCCCCTGAGGAGACATTCCTCACAGTTGCATCAGTTATTAACTTATTAAATCATTACGTGACGAAATGGAGTTTTGAGGCCTGGGACCTCACAATTCTACCTGGAACTACTGGGGCCATTACCCAGCTTCTGCTTGAGCTGGAAACTGGGCCCAGCATGCCACCATTTCACCAAAGAGCAAACCTTTCCAAAATTGGGACCTTGAAGCCCTCTTATCTGTTATACACCAACTGTCACCAGGAAAGGCTTTCCTAAATCAAGATGCCTGGGGCACAGTCCCCACTAGGCCTGAATCTGGATCCATTTGTGGAGAGGTGCAGAAAATCACAATTAATCTGTTTTTTTTCCTGGATCTCTTCATACAACACATCCAGATTCACGCTCTTGATGCAATCCTCTTTGCTAGACTGGGGCACAGTCCCACTAGCAAAAGAGGCCTGGATTTTAAGGCCTGAATCTGGATCTGCTTGTGGAGAGGTGCAGAGAATCACGATTAACCTGCTTTTTCTGGATCTCTTCATACAACACATCTAGATTCAGGCGCTTGATCCAATCTTCTTTGCTAGTGGAACAGCGCCCTGCTGAACCCTCAGCAGCACCCACTCGGGCAGTCCTTTTCTTTTTGTTTAAAGCCCACCTTTTTTTTTTTTTTTTTGGCTAACATTTTTTCCGACCCTGGAAACGCCCTGCGCACTAAAAAAAATGAACCACTGCAGGTCTTCTTTTGGCTGCCACACGGCCAGTCCTTTTGCTCCGGCAGCCCAACCCCCAAAATTTGCGGTGACTTCGGTGAGTTGATGGCCTCGTCAGAGAAAAAATGGTTGGGCAAGGTACTGGTGGTTTAATTAACATCCATAAGAATGAGGGCCTGTTCCAGTGAACCAGTAAAATATCCTTGATAGCTTTTTCTTTACCTAAAAAAAGCAAGGCTCCGCTTCCACAGGGCACACTCACACTAGTGCAAGGAAAACGAGCCAGAGCAAAGTGACTGAACTCCAAATTACAAAATCACATTGGAAGCCAGATAGTAGCGAGCTGTCCAGAAAGCAGAATGCACCAATCACACACCAAAGGAGACCAAAGCAAATGAACTCAATTGTCAATGTCAGCCCATCTCTCACCACCATTAACAATGTGTTCACTTGGCCCCCAGACTACTACCACACAGCTCCTATACTAGCCTAGACTAGGATGCACAACCGGAAGACTCCAGCAGCAGAACCCAATGTACGTGCAGATGTTGCCCATGCAGACCTCCATGATGAACTAGGTATGTCCTCTCTTCTCTCTACTCCTCGTCTTCCCCAACACCTNAGACCTCCATGATGAACTAGGTATGTCCTCTCTTCTCTCTACTCCTCGTCTTCCCCAACACCTTGTCCTCCTCCCGAAGACCACCACCATATCCCGGTGACCTCCCTGAGCCCCAGCCCAGCTATGGCTGGCTGGGCTCAGCGCTGCGCCCGGCAGCGCCCAACACATCCAGCGTTCGCCTGCGCTTGCCCAGGCCCTCGTCTCCAGCGGCCCACCAGCGCTCAGAGTGGCAGCGCTGCCGCAATGCACAAAGTGCCCGAATGACTCGCCAGGAGGTGGGCACTTTCCCTTTATGGAAAATGCTTGCCTCTGATGGGCAGCCTGGGCCTGGCGACCGTGTGCCCAGTAGTTTCATATCGGGCCAAAGT